AAACTTCAAATCGTTTCCAAACAAACGGATATGCAATGCTTTGTTCCAAATTATGCGATCTAGTCTATACTTGTGTGCTGTGCGCACCACATAGTAATTCTAGGCTAATATACCGGAATAAGAACACATGTGTTTGTTTTCAAAAACAATATATCATGTTAGTAAAGGCTGATCTTTGATCGGGCGAGCCGGGGTGCTCATAGATGACCTTCCTCAATCGTACCCAAGTTCCCGAGCCGAGGCAACTTTGGTGATGATGGACACGTGGCTTTAGGCAATGAGTCAGGATTTCTTAAATCCCCCAAAATAAATATTTACACGGTGACTCTGTATCTGGCCAAGCAGTCCATGTTTGACACTTTTTTCTTAAAAATCAGTTTTCCAAAACGATTTGCCGGATTTGGACTCTTTGGTGATTTTATCAATCTCACATCGCACATTGTGAGATCAGATTAAGAACCGTGACAAATGAGTCCGAACTGTAGCATGAGGCCCTTGGGCCCCGTCTATAGTCACATCGTCACATTTTAAGAATAACACATTTGATAAAAATGTAATAAGATAATAGTGCACAAATAAAACCTATTCACATATGGAATCTCCAAAAAATATTCAGTGGAATGACCTCACGGTTAACCTTTTCAAATTAAATGGAACTGTTAACTTAATAGTCTACAAGAAAACTGATGAGACTTTCTGGTATATACTTTTCTGGAATGGGACTTCTGAGTAAATTTCTGTAAAATTTATAAAAGTACTTTTTGAAGTGTAGATTCCGTATAATTGATTTAATGAATGAAGAAAAAGGTTGTATATTTTTATACAAATTATCATTTAGATAAATTAAACATACACTTTCATTAGTAAATGCTCCAAGATGACAAACATGTTTACCTTAACTAATAAAACAATAAGTTACAGTTCTCTCAGAGATATGGTAAAAATATTTCTCAATTTATATTCAATTATGTTATATATTAGTTTCTTGATTTTTTAATGTGGAACATTTCAAAAATATATATTAATTTAAAAATTAAGAAAAAAAATTGATCTTGGTGGAGTCAGAGCAAAAAATGCCTTTAAGGTGGGCTGAATACTAGACTAGCCAAGCCAAAACTCAAGTTTTAATGGTTAATTTAATTTTAATTAATCTATTGGATGAGAGATTTTGCGGCTATGCTTAGAAACACAAAAATTACTTTGAAGGGTGACCCAAGAAAATAACAACTTTGTTTGTTGTCTTTTATATTTCACTCTACAATTTGTTTTATATGTTAACAATGTTTTACGAGTTCTACAAAAAAGAGAACAAAGTAAAAGTTAACTAGCATGCATGATTTGCTGTATCATTGGTTGAACTCTAACATAAGACAAACAATAATTGCAAAATAATAATAACGTAATATATTTACGTTGTACTGTAACTACAGCTTTTGTAATTTGCTCTGTTTTCTGTTTCTTTAAATAAAATAAAAAATCTTAATTGCAATTGTAGTGAAAATAATTAAAATATACTTGATCCTAAATTATTTTATACAACATTTTTAAAATATTTTTTAATTACTTTATAATATTAATATTAATTCTTAATTATTTGTGTTAGATATAATTAAAATTTACTTGATCCAAAATTATTTTATACAACATTTTAAAAATATTTTTTAATTACTATATAATATTAATATTAATTCTTAAGTATTTGTGTTAGATTGTGTATAGCACAGGTATAATGTTAATTTTTCTATAACCAACTACATTTTGATTTGAATGTTACAAATTTACAACTCATCACCCTAATGGTTGATTGGGACTCTGGGCGAGGACTAAAGAAACTATAAGTTTAAGTGGGAAAAAAAAAGTTTTAGATATGTGTAATTTACTTAAAAAGCTTTTGTAACGCTGTGATATTTCATCATCAATTCACAATGCTTATCTAAGAACATTATAACTATAACAATAAATTAAAACATTAAATAATCTGATTTCTGTCTCAAAAGTTATCACTAACCTTTTGAACTATTCATACGATTACATCAATGTATTAATACATTATCGAGAGAGCAAATAGTTCAAAACATAACAGATAATACAAAACTAGATGCCCTAAGGGCTTATATCTTTCCAAGGATTTCTCCTTGATTACACAAAAGATGGAGATCTAACTCCACATAAAAGTAGCCGAAGGCTTCATCACATAGCACAAAAAGAAGCCTTTATGCTCCCATCCAAAATTACTACTCGATGCCAATCACTTCTGTAGCACGTCAACATCATTCCCTAAAAGATTGTTAGTTTTGGGGTGAGCAATCGCCCAATAGTAAATACTATTGAAAAGCTATAAAGTTGATCGAAAAACACATGATCATGCAATGTAATTGGATGAGAAAACATGATTATTTTCCTTATAAAGTCAAGATACAACATGCCTGATGCAAACAACATGTTATATTAAAAAAAAAAACATGTGGTGTAAATATGCTACGATGTTTGTTACAAAAGTCGTTGTCATGACTCGAACCTGCCCCTAGAGGTTAGGATCATAATCGGCCAATAATCATGAGATAACCTATGGTCTCCGACAGAAATCAAATCATATTTAATTATACGGGGCCAGAAGTGGAAGTTGAAATATAAAATCGTCCAATGAGCTTGTGCATAATTAGCATGAACAAAACATCTTATATATTAATAACTCACACCCATACCTACATAAAGGTTCATATATTTCCAAGATCATACATATATCATAGACATGCAAAAGCCATAACTTATAGACAGGCATGGTCAAACATGACCAACAAAAGAAAACAGAAAATGAAAAGACAAAAACCTCGTGCATGAGGCATCCTTAGTTGACCCACAAAACTCGGTATTCCTCTATGGGTCCACTAGGACAAGACATCCCGCTACTCACCTGCATACATATAAATAATGGAGTGAGCGAAAACCCAATGAATAACATCAATGTAAAGAGGTTATATGAATGAGTTCTAATACTCAAAAAAATCATTTTCATTATAGTTAACGGAGCGACCTTAGGTCCAATATATGACAGAATGACCTCGGGTCTAATGTATATAGAGATACAAGGTAGAACATATCATACTTGTCAGAATGACCTCCGGTATAACAATCTTGGGTCAAATCAATTACAGTTGTATAGTGACCATCGGGTCAACACATAACAGATATTCAGACTAATCAGATATTTGGAACAACCTTTGGTCCTTCTTGTCGAATATACAGAATGACCTTGGGTCCATTTCAGATGTACAAAACAACCTTAGGTCCATCATATACTTTCATGCTTCTCAAACACATTTGCAGATCTCTTACGATTCACACAGCTAGAAGGCGCATTCATAACACAAAATCATAAGTTCAGAAAACTTACCACATTGGTAACATTTAGAAAACAAGATACATAAAAATAACTTTACTAAGATATTACTCACAATGATTCAGTTGGTGATATGACCTCGCGGATGAACCTACACAATTCATAACACATACACATATTGGGCCACATTGCTTATTCGGTTCGTTATTAACTTATTCAATTCTCTTAAGCTTCATTCTAACTCTTTAATTCATTTAGGATGCTTAATTAATGCCTAAGAATGCTCATAAATGAATGAGAATGGAATCGTGAACAGACTATGACTTTCAAAATATGCTGAAACAGGACACTTCGCTCGAGCGCAACATTGGTCGCTTGAGCGAACCACATGGCTTGCAAAAGTACTTGATGGTCTGAATCTAGGCTCAATGGTCACTCAAGCCAAGGTGCAAAATGAAAATGCGGTCGCTCGAGTGGTAACTTGGTTGGTCGAGCCAACTGCCAATGTTTGCAAAATACTAGATGCATAATATGTGCGCTCGAGTGACAACTTGTTCGCTCGAGCGATGTAGTCAAATTCTAGTTTTTCCAAAACTGATTTTGAACGTCAAAACATGTATTGAAAGTGTGAAAGCTTGCATGACATGCTCTAATATTCAAATATACAACCATAAGCATAGATACAAAACCAATTTACAAATTCAAAGCCCTAAACTTTATAAGTTCACAATGCATGACCCAATTTGCTTCAAATTCTTTCCCCAAACTCTTAAGAGATGGAATTTAATGTCTAAACCTTATGAATCATGGATGCATGGATGATATAACCTTTAATTCAAGCTTAGATGACATGAACCATGCTCAAAAGTATGAAACTCTGCTAATTTATGCATGCATGTATGAATTTACTCCAATTTCTTCAGTCTAAGCTCAATTCTTGCATTTATATTCATAATCTTCATGAACACATATATTGATGACTTAATCTCACAAATTAAGGTTCAGAAGCTTATCTAAGGTCTTCAACTAACTCTTCACAAGCCAATTCTTGAGCCCTTTTACTCAATTCTCCAACCTTCAAGCCAAATCTTCAAGGTCAAGCATTCTCTCTCTCTAAATTGAAGTTCTTTCTCTCTCGCACTAAAGCACTCTCTCAGATTTTGAATTCAAAAATTATGAGCTAACTCCCATCTTAACATATATATAGGCTAGATTAACATAGTTTACTAATTAAGGATTAAGTTAAGTAATTAAAGCTTAAGTTAATTAATCAAAGGCTTAATTTAATTGATTTAATCTAATTAATTCAATCTGAATCAAATTTTAATCAAACTCCCCATTACGCTCTAAAAACTATGCTTTATACATTAAGCTAATCAATTTCGGTTTCTAAAATCATTAAGGCTTTCAATTTCAAGTTATAATAGAATTCACAATAGATATCTCTACAATTAACATATATGAATCCAAAAATAACATTAAACACATAATTAGCATTCAAATTCACACTAAACACTTAAATGACATTCAAAATCAACGATTAAGAGCATAATACGTAATGGGGTTGTCACAGTCTTCCCTCATTTAAGAAGTTTCGTCCCCCAAACTTGCATTACCTTAAGTCGAAAACAATTCAGGATACCTTTGCCTCATTTGATCCTCATTCTCCTAAGTTGCCTCTGTACCGTAATGTTCCTTCCATTCCACCTTTACCATTCACTTTCCGATTAATGATTTGTATTGGCCTTGCTTCATATTCCATATTATTGTCGAGAGCTATTTGGTGATAATCAATAATATGGAATGGATCTCGGAGGTAACCCCTCAACATCGACATGTAGAACACATTATGCATTTGTTCCATCATCGAAGGTTCAGTAATTTCATATGCAACTGGACCTAGCCTTTCCAAAATCTGAAATGGCCTAATATATCGGGGTGACAACTTGCCCTTCTTGCCGAATCTTGATTGGCCCTTCATTGAAATCACACAAATAAACACATGATCAATGGTTTCATACTCAAGAGTCCTTCTTCCATGATCCATATAACTCTTCTGTCAGTTTGTGTAGTTTTAAGCCTTTACCGAATGACTTTAATCTCTTTCTTGGTCATTTGCACAATATCGGGACCAAGCAAAACTCTGTCCCCAACTTCTGTCAAATAGGCTAGAGATTTACATTTCTTGCCATACAAGGCTTCGTACGGTGCCATACTGATGCTAGAATGAAAACTATTGTTGTAAGAAAATTCAGCCAATGGTAAGTAGGTTTCCCAACTCCCATGAAAATCGAAAGTACACATTCGGAGCATATCTTCCAAGGTCTATGTAGTCCTCTCTGATTGCTTGTCAGAACCTCAATTCTATTCCCATTGCCCTTTAAAGAATTTTCCAGAATCTTGATACGAATTTTGGATCTCTATCTGAAACAATAAATACTAGAACTCTATGCAATTGAACAAGTCGATATAAATAGTGGCAAGCCTGTAAGCATCATATATAGTTTTCACAGGAAGGAAGTGTGCAGATTTAATCAACTTATCTACAATAACCCATATAGAGTTCATACCTCTAGGTGTCCGAGCTAGACCAATGATGAAGTCCATGGTTATGTTTTCCCATTTCCATTCCAAAATAGGGAGAGGCTAAAGTAATCCTACCAGTTTCTAATGTTCAGCTTTGACTTGTGGGCACTGAAGACACTTAGATACATATTCTGCAATCTCTTTTCTTTATGCTAGGCCACCAGTAACTTTGTTTCAAATCCTGATACATTTTGTTGTTGCCCAGATGTATTGCAAACTTTGACTTGTGAGCTTCTTCCAAAATCCTTTTCTTCAAATCAGAAATGTTCGGGACAAACAATCTCTCTTGAAATTTCAACCTCATTTTCAATATTTAACCTTGTTTTGCATTCGATTCAAATTTATTAAATGCTTTCTTAAGGAACTCATTCTCTCTTTGTTTTTGTTTTATCTATGTTTTATGCCAAGAAGTCAGCAAAGGACTTGTGGAATGCTTTGAACAAGAAGTACAAGACCGAGGATGCTAGCGTATTTGTTCTTGATCATTACCTTGTTCAACTCCCAATAATTAATACACAATCGTAAGGTTCCATCTTTGTTCTTCACAAACAAAATCGGCGCACCCTAAGGCGAAGAACTCGGTCGGATAAGACCCTTGTCAACCAAATCTTGTGACAGTTCTTTCAGTTCTTTCATTTTAGCAGTTGACATTCTATATGGAGTCTTTGAAATTGGTTGAGTACCCGACATGACTTTGACAGTAAACTCAATTTCCCTATCAACTAATTCCCCTGGCAATTCCTCTAGAAACACATCTGGAAATTCTCTAACAATAGGAATGTATCTAACACAGTATTCATGTATTAATCAGTCAAAATACTACACAGATAATCCTGACATCCCTTCTTAAGTATTGTTCATGCTTTCATTGCTGAAATTAAGTAAGGCGGATGTACTACACCAATACCCATAAATACAAATTCATCACGGTGGTCTAAACAAAACTTGTTTTGTCACACAATCAATAGTAGCACAGTATTTAGACAACCAGTCCATTCCCAAAATCACACCAAAATGCCTAATATCAAGAGGCAACAAATCTACAAGTAATGTAGCATTCCCAATATGTATTTCACAAGCAGATACATAGAACAAATTCTCTAGATGGAGCAAATACACACAATAGAGAAGGCAATGATTCCGTAGGTCTATTCAGTCTAGATGGAAATGCAGTAGATACGAAAGAATGTGTCAAACCTGAATCAATTAGCTCGTGTAACATCGCCTAAGGGTTACCTACACATGTTAAACAGTTCAGACACTCTGTCTCTTTGATATGGCCTCACGAGTGGAATGTAAAATGTAGATGAGAGTCCACATTTGGCAACTTTTAGAAAATCCATTTTATTGCAGAAATATTTGCCAGAAATAGACTGTGTCAACAAATCTCTGAGTCACCCACCTAATATTTATTTTGGGAGAATTAGTAAACCCGTGACTTGAGCCTAGGCTACTGTTGGTTGTAACCAAGGATGCTTGGCTCGGAACCTTTGGTATGAAGAGGAAATGTCATTAATTGAAGACCCCTGCTCACTCGATCAAAAGATCGGCCTTTAATAAACCATGATATGATTTTTATTAACTTTATATGTTCATATTCCAATTATTTATTAAATCCTAAAATTTACTCTGTGAAGCAAACAAATATAGGCTATGTCGTCCATTTGGAACAACTTGATTTCATTATCTTGAGGATGTTTTGAATAATGCAATCATGAAAATCAATTTTATTCCAAATTAAATAACACAACCTTCACCCGCTCGCATGCATAGAGTTCTATCAAATAAGCACATAGTCACATGGTAGGATGTTAAACATAGTAAGAAAATCGCACACATGCGGGATGCTAAAGAATAAAAACTTACATATTTGCTGACATCCTGCAAATAGGCACAAAAATAGAAATCAGTACACATGCATGACCCAATATACAAGATCCTAATGCAATTCACTCATGGAATGCAACTAAAGATCTGGCTTTTAGTATATATATGACATGTGAAACATCTCAAGACATGAGGTAGCGCACAAAATCACATAATTATCGATTAAACTCATAAATGCAGATCTTAAGGCATAAAACATGGATGCAAAGCATAGATATGATGACAAGCATGAGATACTACATATTTACAAATTAAGGAAAGCAAATGAAAGAACGGGATAGAAAGAAGCGGGGATAGGGAATTATTACATCGCTTTGAAATATTACAAATCCGAATAAGCGGAAGAAGAAAAATATTACAACAAAAATTAAATCGTCACATACACTCTCTAATTAAACTAAAAACAATAAAAACAGAAGCTGCAGGGCGTCTTGGAGACCGTCGAAGACTGTTCTATTCGACATTGGGAAGCTGTTGGGGTTCTATCCAAGAGAGGATGGTTGACTGGCCAAAAGATGAGCTGGCCGACCAAAAAGTTGGCCAATAGGCCGATCAGCCAATTAGGGTAGGCTAAAACTCTGTTTTGTTCCAGAAACCAGAGAAACAAATAGGAAATATGCAAATGGCTCAACTAACCACTTCCAATCAGCTTACAAGAAGTTTACAACATGAAATAGAAGCAAGAAAAGCAATACAACAAAGAAAATGAAAGAAATACAAGAAAATGAAAAGTGTGCAAAATTTACCTTCCAAGGAAAGGATTTGATTTCCAAACTTCCTTTTGACTACCCTCAAGCTTATAGAAGTGTGTCATGACCAAAACCCGTCCCTATAGGTTTATTGTCGTAACCGACCAGTAATTCGAGTTTACCAAAGGCCTTCCTGTACAAAACAAAATATTCGAGGCCAGCAGAAGCTTATAGCATAAAGACAACAACTAGTCCATTGAGCTGTGTAATTGTATGCACAAATTCAAATGTATATAAACGTTAATTTACCCACTGTACAATACATACATAATATCATATACAAAAATATCATTCATGTACATATATACACATAACAAAAGCGCGACAATATGCTCAAAAACTATACAACGGTCTTCTTGACCTAACCCCAATTTGGGGGTACCTGAACTCAATAGGTCTTCAACGGGTGGCTCAGCTAAAGGAACCCTTCTAGGCTTGATCTCCAGGATGCTCACCTATACATATATATACAAACAATGAGTTATAGCCCAATGAATAATATTAAAGTAAAGAGGGTAGTGAACGAATTCCATACATTTCTTAAACATAAAGTAAATCATATCAGAACATAATTACATCTAACAGAACAAAACATATCGTCTTTTGACTAAAATAATCGGTTCCAGAAGCCAATTAAACACATAACCATGATATCATGTGGCTAACGAGATCTCGTAATCACTTATTTGTCATGGACCCACATTAACATGATGTCCCCCATGACATGGGAGCATTCTTTGGATGCCACAACAGATTTAAAACCAAATATTTTTCACATTCACAAAATAACATTTCAGAAAAAACATAAATTATCAAATAGCATTTCAAATATATTTCATATAAAGATATATTTACAGTAATGTTACTCACAGTGCTTGGTCAGTGATACACCTTAATAGTTTAACCTGGAGACACATAACCAAGCACAATATCTCAAAATCACATGTCATTCATTTTATTCATTACTTATTCGCTTGATTATTCCTATACTTTCTTTAATCTTTTTCATGCTTATGATATGCATATGGATGTGAATTACACGTGAAAACTATGTAAATGAAGGCCCGAAAGTCAAAAAAAGGGGAAGAAAATGAAACTAGAAAAACTGCCACACAGGTCGCACGTGCGGTGGCCTTGGCCGCACTAGTGGCGCCAAAATAAAATGCGCTCGAGCGGTTTGGGTACATTTTCAGTTTTGAAAATCTGCTTTGAAAGGAAACTCATTCTTTTGTAAAATCAACTTCAATTTCAAGCAAACCAAGGCCTAAAACTCTCAAAAACATGTTGAATTAACCTTGTTTAACATCAAATTCAAACCATAACTTGAAAACAAAACTCAAATCTTGATCTTAGAGTGCAAACCCTCAAAATATGCATATATGAGTTCAAACTCAAAATGCACGGGGTTTCCCCCAAAGTGGAAGAATCAAGTAATAAGTTGAAGATATGAACAAGAAGTTCATGAAATCATGCCATGTATGTTGCTACCTAGAGCTCATTTTGACCATTCCTCTCTTTAATGTTCATAGGAGTTCACAACTCTAAAACAACCATGATTTCCTCCTAATGAGGCTTAGATCTTTGAAGATGATGAGTAGAGAAGGTGTAATTCCAAACATTTTGAGTAGAGGGCTTTCCTTAAGTTGATTTTAGACATCAATCTTCATGCTCCCTTGATCTTTTCTTTCTCTTCTTTCTTTCTTGAGTTCTCTAGAACTCTCTTGTTTTCTCTCTCTCTCAGAAGACATTTTGTTGAGCTATGACTCAACTAAGGCTCACACACACACACACACACACACACACACACACATATATATAAACTAAA